CTATAGATTATATTAATTTATGCACGAATAAATTAATCACATTAATTTATATGTCAAGAACTCAATTAGGAAAAATACCTGGAGGCCGACTCAGATGATAACTTGAGTTCTATGACCACGAACAATCCTTGCTCCAATCTTTGTGTTTAGAAAACCAAAGTCTTCCACGTCAATTCTTTGATTCCACGTAGACGTGTGTGTCGGCACACGTGAGACAAAACAAGTTTTAAAAACACTCAAATTTCCACAAACACCAACGCATGCACGATGTGGAATTTTTTGGGAGAAAAAATTTTCCTCTCTTTTTCTTGAGAATTTTCGGCCACACTAACAATTAGGGCAGAAAAAATGTTTCAAAAATTGTGTCCACAATTTCTATCATTCTCATATTTAAAGAGTAGAAGTCAAACTTCAAAAATGAATCTAATCTCTATCTTCTATTTTAAATTTGAAACAAAAAATCTCCTACACCTTATCCCTTAAGTGGCCGGCCACCCTAGGGTTTTTCATCCCTGTGTGTGGCGCCAATTACAGATAGGTAAGGAAGAGAAAATCATCATTTATCCTACAGTCTAATTTTTAATTCACATTCAAATTCGAATTTAACTCAAACTTAAATTAATTTGAATTCTAAATTGAACAACTTATCAAATAAGTTTAAATGGATAAATCTAGATGTGTTCAAATTTAAATTTAAATAATCACATTATTTAAATAATAATTAATTCTTAATTAATTATTTTTGAGTGTTTAATTTTAAAATTTCGTAATTCTAAAATTCCCATTTTGTCCTTTGTGTTTGGTAGAATTACTAGGACGACGCGGGAACTAATAGACCTATAATCCCGAGCTCTAATAAAATTAATAATTAATTAAACACTTTAATTAATTAATTAATTCTATTAATTCCAATGGTTATTCCACTGTAAACTTGGAATTGCACTCTCAAAATTATAGATATTAATTACTTCTAAACTGTGAAGTGTCCATTTTATATAGTCATTACATATAGATCAATCCTCCATAAATAATTCATAATTAGAGTCAGGTAGAATCCGTTAACCTCTCTAATTATATCTTCATCCTTGAGTACCATTGCTTCTCTAATGGATAGTGATTCATAAAACACATTCATGAACCAGAGCGCTCTTACTAATCCAAGTACGGAATCAACACTCAAGAGAATTATTTATCTACTTCTTTCTCAAGAAGGAATGGATTCCATCTCGTATAATAACATTCCCAACTACCTATTTCATCAAGTCTCCAAAATACAAGGAATAGGATTCAGAGTCTCGGAATCTGTACCGAGTAAATTAAAAGACATAAATCCATAAATAGGAGTTTGTTAAGAACTCAGGATTAAGATCATTTTATATATGACCATCGGTAGACTCAATTAGAATTTCTATGCTTAACGGAAATTATTAGAAATTCATATTGTGTCTGTGTCCCTGTTCCACACAATCCCATTATGAGAAATACACGCATTCAATATCTCACCATATTTACAGTGCGGATTGCACCGTTCCATTCTAAATGGGAATGACATGTATAAATAATGTTTTAATTAAAGATTCTGAACTTTAATTAAATTCATTATGAACAACATTTTTTATTATTATCCTTAAACACTATCCTCTCGTATATAACACTTATATACTATGTTTAAGGTTACGTAAATAATCACAGAATTTTCATTTGATATTCATAAAATATTCATAAATATATGCACATAAAATGATGAATAAACTCTATTATTAATTAAATAATAAATATCCTATTACATCTTATGCTTCTATGACACTATTCCCAACACTAACAATAAGCTGGTTGGGGGTTGTGATAAGCATATGAAAATCCACTTAAATTGTTCATAATATTTTTGTGGAATTAAGATTTTGTTAAAGTATTTGATTTTAATTTAATTTAATTTGTTTCGAAAGAAAATAAGACATTTGGGCCAAAACTTAAAAGAGGAAAAAAGAGAAGCCCATCAGCAAGCCTAGCCGTTCGAGCCACTCCACCAAGCCGTGTCACGTGGCGTCTTCTGTCGCCTTCCCCCGTAATTTCCCATCACTTTCACGCACGTTTCGTGCACGCCAGGCCCTAGATCGCGAGTTCTCTCCACGCGCACGTAAGCCCAACTCTCTCTCTTCTTCCACGTGGGACCCAGCTGTTCCCTCACGCACGCACGCTTGGCGCGCATGGTTCCCTTCCCCGGGTGAGTCTCTTCCATGCGCGCGTCAGGCATTTCTTCAGTCCTCTCCGTGTGGGTCCCGCAGTGTAGTAGGTATCCAACCAGCTCCCGCCACGTGTTTCTATGGGACCCAGCTGTCGGCCATTTCATCTTTCCGTCTCTCAACGCGCGCCATGTGTCCAATGCACAACAACGTTTCCTTCTCAGCGCGCACCACGTGTACTAGCTGTTGCACTCCTCAATTTTTTTCGATTTCAAACATTTCTGATGGTTCTTTCTCCACCATTATCAGCCTTTACTCCTAAAATAAAGCCTTGTAAATCCAATTTAATTGGATAAAACATTTCCTTTCTTTATTTTTGTTTCTTTGCTGAATTTTTTTTCATATGCCCTAAAAACTCTATAAATAGAGATTTTGTTAAGTGTATTAGGTTGTTGAATTTTAGCATAAGTTTTTATACTTTTCTCTCATTCTCACCTTGCTTTTGTTCTCATATTTTCTCTTTAGAATTTTGTGAGAATTATGTGTAAGCTAGGCTAGAGTTCTTGGGTGAGGCTAGAGATGATCCTAATGTGTAGTGAGCTTGTTTGGGTTTTGATTCTCTAATGGTTTGTAAGTTTTATACATTTGAGTAAATCATTTTCTTTTATCATATTTCTTCCTCATATCAATATATTTTATTGTCAACTTTTATATAAATCTAGTCAAGCTCTTTTTATGTGATTGTTGCATGATACTATATATTTGTAGACATTATTTTATGAGTAGTCCTTTACTACAATATCACCCCGAGGTATACTGTCGCTTTTAGATTTCTCATAAGAAAATTTTTTCTAATTCTAAACGTAAGAATTTTATTTACTCGAATACATTTTTATTCACAAGTTCTTCAAATATTTATTTTCCGATTTATTGTTTGGGAAGTGAAACTTTCAATTGAGTCGATTTATGAATCAAAATCCAAATAGGTGAACAAAGCATATAGAGGATTCTCAATGTCTTACCACTTTTAATTATTGAATTTTCTCCATTTTATATTGCATAATCTTAAAATTAAATTGTTCAAAAATCATAAAAACACTCATTTCTTTTCTTTGTTCAATTGCTTACCTCTCTAACGCTTTTGTTCCACTAATCTCTTTTGTTTGTTTTTATCACCTCCTCGTGGGATCAACCGTCCTAATTTTACTACAATTGACCACTTGTTTTTGTACATGTTTTGGCGTAACCAACCCCTCTTATCCTCCTAAACGCTAAAAGTGTCGACTGATGAATCCGGTGAGGTACGATGCATTGAGAGAAGAGGTCAACAAACTGATCAGCAACGATTTCATCAGAAAGGCTCACTATCCTAGATGGGTTTCAAATCCTGTCCTGGTGATCAAGCCTAACAGGAAGTGGAGGACGTGTGCTGACTTTAGCGACCTCAACAAGGCCTGCCCAAAAGACGATTTCCCACTCCCCTAAATAGATCAGATGTTCGATGCTACTGCCGGACACAAGTTGTTGAGCTTCATGGATGCCTACTACGGTTATAACCAGATTCCCATGCAGCTGTCCAATGAAGAGCACACGTCATTCATAACGGACATAGGCCTCTATTGCTACAAGGTGATTCTTTTTGGCTTGAAGAATGCAGGGGCAACATACCAAGGCTAGTAAACAAAATGTTTGCTGAGCAGATCGGAAAGACGATGGAGGTTTATGTTGATGACATGTTAGTAAAAAGCACCAAGGCTAGACATCACGTCACACACTTAGGGGAAATATTCGATATACTGAGGGGATATCACATGAAGCTAAATCCCCTAAAGTGCACATTTGGGGTTGGATCAGGAAATTTTCTTAGGTTCATGGTCAGTAACAGAGGAATAAAGGCTAACCCAGAAAAGATAAAAGCCTTGCTGGATATGAAGTCTCCTAAAAAGCCGAAAGAAGTCTAGAGGTTGACGGGATGTGTCGCTGCTCTTAATAGGTTCATATCTAATGCGACAGACAAGTGTGTGCCCTTTTTCGACGCAATGAAAGCAAGTAAGCGGTTCGAGTGGATGCCATAATGTGAAGAGGCCTTTTGAAGGCTGAAAGAACACCTGGGCAGACCCTATATCCTGTCAAAACCCCTCCCAGGCGAGGGGCTAAGCCTATATCTCTCTATTTCAAAGCATGTCGTAAGTTTTGTACTAATCAGGGAAGAAGAAAGGGTCCAGCTACCAGTCTAGTACGTGAGTAAGAGGCTCCTAGATGCTGAGTCAAGATACACAAAGATGGAAAAGTTAGCTCTCACCTTAATGGTGGCCTTAAGGAAGCTTCACATTATTTCCAGGCCCCCACAATACGGGTTTTGACAAACCACCCATTGAGGCAGGCATTGCAGAAGCCTGAAACGTATGGCTGACTCCTGAAATGGTCGGTAGAATTGAGCCAAATAGACATTGAATACGTGCCGAGGACAACAATCAAAGGGCAGGCGTTGGCTAATTTCATGGCAGAATTTTCCCACAGGCCGGCGATGGCCGAGGATGAAGGGATCAAAGAAATATAGTGGAAACTCTACGTAGATAGAGCATCAAATGAAACTGGATCAGGATCGGGCGTCATGCTGATAAGCTAGAGAGCCACAAAATCACCTCGGTGGTGCGGTTCAAATTCAAAGCGTCGAACAATGAAGAAGAATACGAGGCGCTGATTACAGGATTGCGGTTAGCAAGTCACTTGAAGATTGAAAGACTTGGCATTTTTAGTGACTCTCAGCTAGTAATCAGGTAAGTGAAAGAAGAATATCAGGTATGCGGTGAAAAGATGGGGCCAAACCTGAGAAAGGTAAAGAAAGAACTCACCAAGTTCGAAAGCTATGAGATACTGCAGGTACCGAGAGCCAAGAATACAAACGATGATGCCTTGGCCAAACTGGCATCCTCAAAGGATTTAGATATGCTAGGGGTCATCCCCATTGAAGAGCTAGAACAGCCATCAATTGATGAGAAAGCAGAAGTCTTGACAACCCAGGCAGTTAAAAACTGGATGACGCCACTCGTCCAATACTTGATGGATGCGAAGCTACCCAATGACAAGGATGAGGCCAGAAGGGTTAAATATAGAGCCGCCAGGTACCTACTGTATGATGGCCTGCTATACAGATGAGGCTTCTCAACGCCCTTACAACGATGCCTGGATGACAGTGAGGCACGAGAGGTCCTCTAGGAGATCCATGAAGGAGTGTGTGGTAATCATACTGGGGGCAATCTTTAGCTCTAAAGGTTTTGAGGTAGGGATATTATTGGCCTACGCTTAAAAAACACGCGTTTCAATATGCTCGGCGTTGCAATAAGTGCTAACAATATGCCACGATTCCTAGAGCGCCCCTAGAGAACCTAACTTCCATTCTTAGCCCATGGCCTTTTGCCAAATGGGAGGATGACTTGATCGGACCTTTGCACCTTACGCCGGAAGGCTTTAAGTTTGCCATCGTCGCCATGGACTACTACATTAAGTGGGCCGAGCTGAAAACTCTTACTTCGACCACAGAGGCTACCTACACAAACTTCATTTAGAACAAGATTATGTGCAGATTTGGGGCTCCACATTCGATCATGTCTGACAATGGAAAGCAGCTCCGATATATCCGCAATCGAACGGCCAAGTTAAAGCCATCAACAAAATCCTGAAGTACACCCTAAAGAAAAGGCTTGATGACCTTAAGGGAAAATTGGCTGAAGAATTCCCGAAGGTCTTGTAGGCGTATAGGATGACGAGACGAACTACAACAGGTGAAACACCCTTCTCTATGACATATGGGGTCGAGGCAGTAAACGGTCGCATATGAGGATGATGCAAACGCTGAAGTAATGGATGGGGAGCTCGATCTGTTGGAAGAAAAAAGGCTCGACTCTCAACTACGACTCACCACTTACCAACAAAGGACAACACGATACTACAATAAGAAAGTCAAACGAAGAATGTTCACCCCGGGAGACCTGGTATTAAAAAGGGTGACACGGAGTACTAAACCCAAAAATATTGGCTCTTTAGGCCCGACATGGGAAGGACCCTATCGCATAAGAGAGATGATACGCCCGGGAACCTACATTTTGGAAAGCCTCACTGGCAAAAAGATTTAACATCCATGGAATGCGGAGCAACTAAAACTCTACTACTAATAATGTACGACTTCTTACACATTTTAGTTGTATTTGGCATTTCAATAGTAATAATGACCTTATTCATAACAAGTGTTCAAAAAGACTACGAAGAGATCGACCCCTTAGTAACATGCCTACCTAAAAATCAAGGTTTTCAGACAGACATAGGGGGTAGCAGGGGTCTACGGATCACAAAAAAAAAAAAATGTTAAACATCGACATCTCCAAAGAGACGAGACAATAACTTAAAACAGATTTTAAAAGAATCTGTAAGCTCTAAAGGGCATTCAAACATCAAGAATGTCAACTTCTCCAAGCAAAAGAGACGATTGCTTAGCAAAATTTTAAGGAATTTGCTAAAATGATGACCTTAAGGGGTATTTAAAACGCCGACATCTCCATGGAGAAGGGGCAATCTTTTAACATTAAGAAATTTGCTAGAATAAGCCCTAAAGGGCACCAAAGGCAGAAGATATGAAAATAAAGGCAATAGTGCATTATATTAAGTACGACAAAATATACAAACTGGCGGATTGAAGAACCATTATCTTAAAAAACAAAAACAAAAACAAAAAAAAAACAAAAGTACAAGAAGCAGGCTCTCAATCCTCGCTGCCACCAGTCGAACCATCTCCGTTGTTGGGCTGAGAAGAGCCGTCGCCGTCAGCGGGAGGATGAGGAGTATACAGGAAGCCCAAGTCCTACTCAGGGTGGTGTTGTTTGATCAGTTATACTATATGTTTCCCAGCGGACTAAAAATTCTTTGTGTAAATTTCAATAAGGTCCTCAGAAGCCATGAACTCTTCAACAATTTCCTCGCGCTTGGCGGCGAAGTCCTCCGAGTTCAGATAATTTTTAACCGCTGCAAGCTCAGCTTCTTTCTTCCCTTTCTCACCTTCAGCTTTCCCCTCGGTGAAGTATTCCTCCCTAGCCTCAGCCACTTCTTTTTCAGCTGCCTCCACCCGCTTAGCAGTCCTTTCAGCCAGAACCTTCAATCGAGCCAGCTCATCCTAGAGACTCGTCAATTTGGCCACAACCACATCCTTCTCCTCGATAATAGTCGAGCACTTGGACTTTGCCTCATCAAATAGAAATGGGAGTTTTACCTCCAGGCTATCCATCTCATTGCTACGTCCTCAACCTTGACCAAGTCTAAAAGGTTGAGGATGGTGAGGACAAGGCCTTGAAAACAGATCAGTAAGTTAGAAAAGGAATGGTGAAAGTATAGTTTGAAAATAAACGATCTATGCTTACATAGATCTGGAAGGATATCTGCTTGCCCAGACAATCGACCAGAGATGACCGGGAGGCGGAGACCCAATGCTTGTCAAAAAATGACTCGTATAAGGCCTGAAAAACTAAGGAGAAACAAGGAGGAAGATTCAACATCGCCTCAATTTGGGCATTCGAGATATCCTGGACCTGGAAGTTCGGGTCCATAACCTACACCTCAGGGAGCAAGAGGCGGTCCTTGGGCGGAGGAGGAACCTCGGTGACGTTAGGAATGGGAACCACTGGCGTCCAAGTCCCCCCTGTCACCCGCACATCCTCTTGGTAAACCCTCTTTGGCACAGGTGCCTCCGACATAGATCCTAAGGCACCCCCAGAAGGCCTCTTCTTCTTCGGGGCTGGAGAAGAAGCGCCAACACTGGCTTTCCCCTTTGACTTAGGTCGATTGCTGGAAGGGAGTTGGATGTTCAGAGAAGACATTTCTACACATGGAACTAAAAAGGTTAGAAAAAAGGGTCGATGTGGCATCATATCAAGTATGAGGTCGAGTCCAAAAGATTTACCTTCTTCGTTAAGGTGAAAGAATTCTTGAACAGCTGGGAGGTTTGCAGGATCCCGAAGGGAAAGAAGCAGCCCTATTTCCCTGAGGTTGGCCTCGGTTAAAAGAACGTTGATATGGTGATCGTCCTCCGAAATTGTGAAGGCTTTAAGTACCCTCGCCTACCTGTTCCCAATTAGCTTCGGCCGGTTGTGACTGACTGCACATTAAGGTAACTGTCAGCGTTATAAGAAAGAGAAAAATGAAAAGAAAAATTTACTATAATTCTCACTTAGTCTCCCAAATGATGTTTGCACTTTACGGTGACAGGGCATATGGTCTGCGGGGTGAAAGTTAAAAGGTCCCCTGACCATGAAGAACGTGGGTTTCCAATTCCAGCCATGGGATGAAGAAGGGATGCCTTAGATCAATTTACCTAAAATGGGCTTTGATCACCCATGACTACCCAAAAAGTACCACCCCTCACACTTCATGACGCGGCTTAACTTGTATATGTACAAAAATTCATCCAGAGGCAGATCCACGTCAAACCGCTGACTCCACAAAATCCAGGCACTGGCGAGGCAATACCAAAAGTTCAGCGCCAGTTAGGCAGGGGAGATGCCATGGTAATGGCAAAAATCTTTCACAAAGGATGAACTGGTAATGTCATCCCTGCGGTAAAGGCCCAAGTGTATACTGGAAGAAACCTAGGAGGAGGAAGGCTAGACCAAAAGCTTATGTCTGAGAAAAGGTAGTCAAACTATCTCCCGTCTACACGCCCATCTTTGAATGCCTGGATGATGTCTCTGTTCTAAGTCCTCGGCGTTGTCAAGTCAGCAATAAATGTAGGCCTGTCTAGGTCCCCACTCATAACGGCCAAAGGGGCTTCCACGATGGAGGTGGTGAATCCATACAGTTCTCCCCCTTCCAGAGAACCTTCGACGATGTCATCTCCCTCGACCAAGAGGTCGACTCTGTCGACTTCCCTTGTATCGGCCGCGTAGTTATCGACTTCCCTCAAGATGGAGTCATCGTCCATTGAAGAAGACGTCCATGAGGTCTCAGCGGCAGAAAGGGAGTCCGGCCTTACAACAGATGAAGAAAGACCCTCGCAACGGTTACATGGTTTGGGAGCCATTGTTCTGGTATAACAAAAAAGAGGATAATATGAGGAGCTAAGTTAAAATCCTAAGTCGAGAAGGAAAGGATGAGCAACAAAAATGATGATTGTTTAAAAACACAAATGGCTACTAAAGGCATGCAAATGCCAATGGCTCAAAAAGCCGTCGATCATTCACAAGAGAAGAACGACGAGTGTTCAAAGGAAACCCAGATTTCCCAGCCAAACACCCTAAACCTAGAACCTCAAACTTTCTACAGTCAACCAGAACCCAAAAAAGCTAGCCCCTAAAGGTCCATATATATGCAAAGTAAGTCTCTAACCTCCTGAATATGATCCAGCATAAACCAAGTGAGGAAAAGCATAAAATGCATAAAACTACACGAAAACATAATTGCAATGAAGGCTTACCAGGGACTTGAGAAATGGCAAAATCTGAAGCTCGACTGCAGAGAACTTCACAGAACACCAAAGGAAATGAGAAAAGTGGAATGCGGAGGATTCTAGGAAAACTTGGGCAGAGTTACGACGGTTCTTAGAGATTTGGATGCAAATGGTCTCGGTTTGAAGCAGACTTATAAAGGGGAATGAACCCTCGACCCCTGACCATTGGATCGAATCTTAGTAAATCCAATGGCGGGGGCGACCGGTCGATCAAACTGTAGTGACAAAGGCGGGAAGCTGAAGAGACACGATCCAACGGCCTAGATTCATCCATTTAAATAAAAGCCCACGTCAGCATGGCAATCGAATTGACACGATGTTTGCACTTCTCGAAGTGCTAGAACCATCATTACAAGGGAGGTTCGGAGTTAGGCTCCCACACCCGAAGTGAACGAAAAGGGTAGATTAAATCCTAGCCTAGCTCGAGGCAGTCTAAAGAAAAACCTCGACCTGGGGAGCAGCTGTTGTGTGGGAAAATATGCGTTGACACGTCACATGACGGCCATGCTCCACGTGGCCCTATACTTGCCACGTCAGGTAGCTATCGACACCTAAAAATCATTTCTCCCTACATCGGGTGAAAAGGCCGATCGTATGGGAGGATTCATGAGACCGTCGACCCTACATACAGTCGAGGCTTGCATGATTTGTTCGCAAAAGCAGTACCGTGATGAGGTCGGCCAAGACAGAGGCCGCGCTCTGTGAAGTAGTGTAGGTGCAAAGGGCAGAACGCAAGTAAATGGGTCCACATCCCAAGAAAGACCTCTGAGGTAACAAGGGGGAAATCCCTAGGTTATGAATGGGTTTGGAGAAGGTCAGTAGCATAGGAAACGATTACATGCCCATAAACCGCCTAGAACGGGCCAATGGAAATCACAAAGGATCCGCAAAGCCGCAATAGTGGACAAAGTGGGTGAGTGAACAGTCCAAAAGGTGCTGAGAGGCTTTGGTCTATGCAGGTAGGATAATAGGCTACTTGAGGGAAACCATCAGAGAATCCCCTAAGACGATCCACCCTTACATGTAATCTGTAGGGTATAAAAGGGGCAAAGCCCCAGAGAGAAAATGAGAGTCTTTTTGTAAACTTTGAAGAACAAAGATAACTACAATAAGCAGTGGATGTAGCTCTTTTTTGATAGAGTAAACCACTATAAACTCGTGTCTTGCTACTTCCGTTCAAATAGCAAATCA